AGCAAAAGATATTTCGCATTGTTGCTAGTCAAGATAGTAAATACAATAATAAAATCAATACAATAATCGAAATTGCGTGCTGATGCATAAAGAAGCTATAAGGTATGTATTTACTAATTAACGGTAGAATTCACTTAGCAATAAAATAATGATAGAATATAATTTACCTTTCCATATTTAAAAATTTTTCAATCTACTGGACGAATCCAGTTAACTTACTAGTTACTTAATTCAAGTCGAGTTGAGTATGTTGAACATAAGCACGACAATCGTTAAAGTACCGAGTGACTTGGAAATATACAAAACTAAAAATAGTTCTGGTTACTCAATGGTTTTGTTTTATTTTTCAGACAATTGTTTCCTTAGACATACCTAAAGAAGCAATACAGAATGCTGTATTTTGTGGAGCTAATCAGTTTCATTTATTGTTATTCAGCTTGCCTGGTCAAGTGCTACTTGATAATTGTACTATAATAATTTAGCAGATGATATGTTAGTGCATTAATAAGGATATCAATCACAGTTTCGAGTAAGATTCATTACAGTATATCAAAACTTACTGTACATAATGCAAATTCAAAAATTACTGTACATAATGCAAATGTACAAGAAACTCTGTTCGTTGTCAGCAGGTGGACTGTATGAAATGAATATAAAAAATTTCAGGATAGTAGGTATCATTCTAGCACTATTATATAAAGAATAATACATCAAAGATTCAGACAAATATTTAATTTTATGGTCAACAATTGGTGTGATAAAAAATTTTATTTGTCCTATTTGTTCTTATTTGTACATCAAATTGTACTAAAAGTAAAATAACGCTTTTAAAATATAAAATAAAAAGATTTTATCATTATATTTAATATTTATGAATATTATCATTTCCAAACCTTCAAAACAGGCGTGTCTTACATCACAATGATGATGTCACTGAGAAACTAAATTTACATTTGCTGTTTCACCTATGTAGTGTCATCAAAAATTCCTCTGCTTTATCTAGGATGATTAACTAGGATGATAGACAATATGGAATAACATTTTGAACAATTTTGACGAAAGTGCAAATAAAGTTATAAAATCACATATCGTTGATACAGTGCTAATATATTAATATACATACATACATTCTACTTAAAGATCACTCCATTGAGTTCTTTGCACATTGCTTTTAAAATAATTTTACAATTTAACAAGATAAAATTGAAAAGGTATAAGGTAAAGTTACGTTCTTACAAATGACAGGTAACAGCGACGAAAATGTTTCTCGGTGGAAAATTCGAATTCAAAAGACAGAAGAGACTCTCTAGTACTGAAATAAACTTTGAACAAATGTTCATGCCTTTCAGAAGTCATGGTTGTTAAAAAAAAAAATAACTTAACTGATATGTTATGTTATATTGCAAGTTATCAATATGTCAGACTAATAACAGAACTATGGTATGCAGCAGAACATGTAATCAGAATGCTACCAAAGTTTTGAGAAACCAATTTTCTTATGAACGAATTTTTATAATACTTTTCTGTCAGCAAACCGATTGACATTAATATACTTAATGAATAACACATTTCCAATAATATCGAATATGGGATATAACTACAAACACCATATTGATTTCTAGAGCAGAACTTCCACAGTATCAATTCACGGAAGTTGTTTTAAGACAGACAGTTTCTTCTGAAACGGTTGTACTAGTTAGAAAAACGCTGGCGTTTCACAAGCTTGAAGCTATGACTAGTAAGAGGATTTATATCAAAATTAAAATACGTAGCTTCTTCGTATACTAATAATTTGACTGCGAATATTTATGCAAATTAATATTTTATATAATATATAATTGGAATATAATTAGAAAGAATCTAAGTAGAAGATCTTTTCATCTATGGCACATATCTGTGTCAGATATGTGAGAATATTATATATTTTGAATGTTTTATATAGTTTTGCAAATCGTTTGTGTATTCTGTGCATTTTCTCATCTTAAAAGTTTTTTACAAATGCATAAAAATCTGCAGAAGAAAAATCTAGATTGATTATTCTTTCATAGTATTCAATATAATTATCGCGAAAACTAATCTAAGCTTGGAGCGCTCTAGCATTTCAGCAAAGGCACATTCCCAATATATTTGACGTTCCTTACTATAAAACACTTGAGAAGTATATGCAACTTTTGGGCCAGGATCCACGTCAAAAGAATGGGTTCAGGAATTTTATAGTAACTGCTGTGGTAATCAGTATTACAGGCAACATTGTACCAACGGTAAGAAAAAATTTCATTTAAACATCTGGCAAAGAAGTATTAGAAACAAAATGAGAAAACTGAAGTCAATGAATTCCTCGCAAGAAAGTAAATAATTGGATAATGTTATTAAACAAATGGAACCTCCAATCATTAGTTACTAGAGTTATATACCTCCTTATGTAATAAGAATATGGACGCGGTAATCGACGTTTTCCCACATTTTATGGCAGCTACGATCAGTGCCATTAAAATATTAAACATCCAAATCAACAGACAAAATGTACGTAAGTCATACATTATCATACATAGAAATTCTCATATGTAATAAATATATATTCAATGTATATTATCTGTAGTTTAACGAATTGCTTCGATTCGTGGCAAAAGAGTGGAAGCAGCTGAAATTAAACAACGAATTGCACGTTTTGGATCAAACCCTTATTCGAGGCAACAAAATGGCTCAATTGTATCGAAGTATTTTATCGTATCTATTCTAAATTTTTTATTTGAATGCTGTTATACCTAACAAAAAGTTCTTTCTTTTTTTCAATACCTTGCAGATAAGTTATGAAGTCCATTCTTTTCAGAATCTTTATTGTCCGCTTTGGTATTGTTCCTATTGATCCCACTAATTTCTCCGATTATGGACATCGTTCTTCCATTAAATGAAACTCGTCCACGGCAACAACTGCTCAAAATTAATTACATAATTTTTGACGACGCGGACTATTTTTTCTACGTATATATACAGTTAGCCTGGGGTTCAATCATGGTTGTGGTAACCATAATTTCTGTAGATTCGTTATACATCCTTCTAATTCATCACACTAGTGGATTATTTGCTGTGTGTGGGTAAATACGATGCTCGTTTCACGACTCACGCAAATATTTGAATACGTATCACAGAAAATTTTTTTAAATATACTTTCTGTGTGTAGTTTACATTATTATATATACAATAATTCCAGAAAATATCTGTACATACGTACATAGAAAATTATTGATATAACCCTTATTATTCTGCAAAATCGTGCAACAAATTTTAGAGAATCGTTGTAAATGGAAGACTTCGATCATAGAACGATTGATAGATCTATGACTTTTTGTTAAGTAGTTACAGTAACAATCTCGATCTGATACTCATTTTAAAATATGAAGCTTCTACTTTCACAAATACTATATTCGTTTCCTTTTTTTTTTTTTTTTTTTTTTTACGTCATTTTGAAAGAGATTAAGCAGAGATATTTTTTCTCTTAATTTTGCAAATTCAAATGTTTTTTCTTAATTAAATTCACAGCTTTTTGAAGAATAAAGTCTCTCCTTGACAACGATCCTTTGAAATGTATTGTACGATTTCTTTTTCATAGAGTTAATAAAAATTCAAAATGTCAGTAAGTTTTCATCATGTGAAAACTTTCTGGAACCACTGTATATATTATACATATGTTTTTCACACATATGATAGTATATTTATAAAAAAATTCTTGTAAGTGTTCAAATAATTTTACTTGTATTATATGTATTATATGTACAATTATTTCATTGTTCTATCAAATACAGGCACCGAGTGCAAAATGCAACAAAAAATTCGAATGCCAGCCAAGTTGTCTCAGAAAATTACACATATGAACAGATTAGAAATTGCGTGATCATTCACGATGAAGCTATCCAGTTTGTATTTGTCGAGTAAAGTATAAATAGACTGTGGATATTTATGTAAATTTTTATAGTATATATATATATATATATATATATATATATATAT